AGTTCCTTTTATTAAAAACCTAATGATACGATTTTCAGGAGGGGGGAAGCGGCCAATCAAAGGGCTGCAACACAACGCACAAATAGGAAAAGTCAGGCGGTAGTGATGGGATTCGAACACTCTACCTCCGGGGAGTCAAATTAGTGACGCCACCACGGATTGATGTGCTCAACGTGCCAATGATCATTGGAGAAAGCAGTGCGTTAGATCGAAGTTAAGCGGTCTCAAAAACTCGTTTTATGACCAAATGATCACCGGTTATAGGTTGCGTCGTCGACTTCGCCCAAACTTTTTCGACAGCTGATGGTATTTTTCCACCTAAATATGCTTAACTGTAACTGCCATGTTTAAACAAAATAGTTTCTCCTAGGTTTCGGTGCAGCAAGTAATAAATTTTCAGTATTGTATAACTCTGAAGCATAAATTCATTTTAGTCTGGTAGAATAGCTTATTCAATCACTAATACGACAATGTGTATTTTTCCTTTTCCAGCTAGCCTTCAGAATCAATGGGTGTATTTTTCATTATTATCACCAGTCCAAAGATATTCTATCGTTTAGGATTATTACTGTGCATTGAATATGATTATCCCTGAAAGAACAACTAATCTCCCAGCTTATTTCGTGGTGAAGAACTTTGTTCGTTTAAACCACGAGGAGCTGAGCAATTTCATCGTCCCCAGTGTTTGCGTTTACATAAAACCTGAATAAAAAATTACAGATTAGTGGGTTCTAAATAACTGCCAGAAATCTACTAGTAAGCATCATTTGCGAGACTAGTGGGTTTGTCAGACATCCACAAAGTGCTGTTAACACCGAATGCTAAACCAAGATTCAGTTTCAGTAAGTTTCAAACTCTGGTCTCCTCAAGCGGGTCCATCAACTGGTCAGAATAGTAGGAGTCGTTAGAATCACTGACGTCATAAGTTGAGAGTTGTGTGATGAAATGGAACCTGTTAGATCACATGGCAGTTATTCGGGGNNNGGGGGGGGGGGGGGAGTTCTCATTCCTACACTTTTCGCAGTGATCTACTATGTATCATGTCAGGGTAAATAGATGGAAGAGAAAACAGAAATGGCTGTCTCTACCCTTATTTCAATTGCTCTTGGTCGTGGCCAAATTGATCATCAATGACGTAGTAGGTAATTTCTGAGACTAATGATACTGGATTAAAAGACGGCGATATTAAGTGGGTTCCGATGGATCACTACAATCGGAGATGTCATAGGGTTCATTGATTATATCCTGAAGGGGTTTATAAATGATCTGTATTTCGGGAATAATTTGAATAAGCGTAATGGATAAGATCAATTCTGGATCTCACATAAAGCAGAAGGCCGACGTAGAGGCAAAATCCATTTCAGGGACATATGCGCTTCCCGTGAAATAAAGATTACCGCATCCTTCCGTTGGAATTCAACAAACCGATAAAATTTGTTTCATGGTATTTACAAGATAAGGTCTACACTCAGAAGACATGGAGTTGGCAGCAAATAAAAGAAATGCACAGCGTCTTAAAGCGAAACAATAATGGGTCACCGGATAGTAATTGCCCCCAAATAGTGCTTGATCGCCGTTTCATAACTTGAGGAAGTATTGAAAATGTTTTTTTCGAATCAAATACCTATATACATGTATATATATACATATATATCAAAGAACAGAGTGATAAACATTTGCATGATCCCAAAAGAAGTGAAAGAAAACTTTCTTGGAATGACGTACAAACTGGGAACTTCGCATGTATTTCTGAGTTATCTTGACCAAATAATGCATTTTTAGTGTGGCTACTCATGAGTAGCACAACCCTATGCTCACTTTGCTAATTCACATCGAAAACAGCCGAAAGACAGAAAAACAAGTTATTCCTTTCNTTCCTTTCAAATTACCTTAATTTCTGCAGTCCCGTCGAAAGATTATTAATTTAGCAAACCGTGATAAAGAACTTAAATTTCTTGTTACAATATACCGTGGGATTGTTCTGCCTAGTACCCTTCGTGAATGATGTTTCAAATAAACGCAGGTGACATATTCCTGATACACAACTCATGAGTCTACATCTGAAAAAGCAACCAATAACTTTCAATCTCGCTGCAACACTAACCTGTATCTGTTACTGATTATGCACGACTGAATTGTTCAGGTTAATTCTGGCCAGGATGCATTTGACTTTTGGCAGCCACAGTCAAATGAACGTCTAGATTTATTTCAACAGCATGCTCATTATGTGTACACACAGCACATCAAATTCCCAAAAGAAGACTTTACTGGAAAGGAAATCAAAAACTCTCATCAACTTTCATTTCCACAGGTTACAAGGATCATATATCATGAAGACATCTTAATATCACTTATTAGATCAGAATGCCTGAAATAGTATGTGTGTACAGTTGGACTGTACTCTCTTTGTTTCTGTATTTACATTCCTAAAAATAAGCCCAATCCCTGTCCTCCTTACAGATTTTCACTTGCATTGTATTCATCACACGTTTGGCAGCGATTAGGGAAGTTCGCTTCACTGTGTTACTCTGTAAAATGATGATGATACTGATCAGGAACACATGCCATAAAAACCTATTACTAGTATTCTGGGAAGAACTCCATCCATCATAAGTCTGGAGCGTGCATAAATGTACTTATGCTAATCAAGCTTAATAACTCTACCAAGTGGTTCCAGTTGTTAACCACCCTTTTGCAGAGGAAGCTTAGTCTGAGGACTAGGTTTAACCTCTGCTCATTTCCTCCAGTTATCTGGTAGTTAGCCTCTGGAACACATTTTCTCTTTTGACTCCTGAGAGTCTTTTCACAAACTGTTGATGCTATAGATATTTTGCAGTGAGTCCGATGCTTTTTTTAACTACTTGAGTGAAACGTATGAACTATATCGAAGAAGATGAACCGAACTTGAGGTTCACAGATGTCATATAACGAAATATATATATATATATTTTATTTATTTTTTATATAATTATCATTTCTTATCCCCGATAATGATTTTTATAAGGCACTCCATTATTTTCAATTAAGTGGTATCCTGAAGTGATAATCCCTGACTTTTCAACACACACACATGTAATTACTTCTGCTGTAAGACTTTGACTGTTTTCTCTTCTTGTTAACTGATTTATTGCTGGGTGTCGTAAATAGTGGCGTTCGTGCGTCTCAATTTCTCTGTATCATTAATCCACTAAACGTTTCAATCTTCTCTTCGATCCTACTTTCAACATTTCCTGTCTTCTCCTAATGTTCANAAGATAGCAACCAAAACCGGCGCACGATAATGCATGACTAATGGTTGTGCAAACTGAACTGAACTGAACTGATTTGAACTTCATAAAACTATCGACTTTATTAACTATCCCCATCATGCAGTTTCACATAAATTAAGTGACGAGAATAAAGTTTACTTCAGTCTCTCAAATCACGCATCTGCATACAGAAATCTTGACGACTAACTTTGCTACTTTGCTGGGTAAATTTTCCCGGAACAAATGTATGAGACTGAAGTGAGGACTAAACAAAATTGTTAATCAATGGTGATATATAAACTGTGTAACATTGGCATATCCTGACCTCTGTCGACATAGAGATGTGGATGACAAATGCTCATCCTAATATAAAAGTTCAAAAACTCAATTGATTATAACACAATGAAGTCAAGGAAAATTCTGTTTATCCTGGTGGTTGGATTTTTAGCATGGGTTCCCTGATACAGATTGGTGTCGCTTCGACTGTGCTACGGAACCTTTTACATAATCCCTTAATTCATTTTATAGGCGTTTATAAGGAAATCTAAAACGCGATTGTTGAATCAAACCTGCGTCCTTATCGACTAGGTGTTGCGCGCTGCAGGTAATGGATGTTCCAAAACTTATCTTGTGCAGTGGCCCCGGGAAGTGTTCTGATAGACGCATATGTTTGATGATGCGAAATTCACTGCAATTGCACATAAGATGATAAGGAACGAAAACCGAGACTAGTGAGGGAGTCTGACTCTGGTTCGTTGAACAATGGACAGTTTTGTCCCTCGAAGAAAAGAAGTCATTTTACTAAACTGTAAGCAACTTTACCGTATTGCATCAGATCCCTTTATGACGAGAGATAGTTCTAAATAACCGTTGTTTTCTTTAGTACTTTAGTTGTGTGCATCAGCTCAGAACTCAATCCGTATGAGCTACAGAGTGAAGTGATAAAATATCCACTTAAGTGGCGCCTCACAAAATGGGTTGTTAATAAGAAGAAAGATCCCAAAGTCCAACCGATTTTCATTGAACGAATTTCACAAACTATGACATGAAAATATCGCATCTTCCGTAATTAATTTTACAGATCGTGAAAGCATTTAAAAGCGGAATGCCATCGGAGTGTAATGCAATTCTGGAGAACTTTAAACAAAAATACTACTTAATGGACGCCACATGCACGCTGGATATACAATCGGTCGATTACGAATATTGCATGGGACCCTCGAGCAAGTTGAATCACGAAACAAAAGAGTGTGGTAAGTTGTGTGCACTAAAAAGTGAATGAAATTACATGACATTTGTTGACATCTATGTTAGTTCGTCAGTATCTGTGGGCATCTGTCTACGTTTATTTGCCTATCAAATCATATCATGTCAGACTTCTTGTGTAATTAAAGAAACGAATATTATATATATGTGTAGATTTATACATATACATTTATAGAAGTATAGACAGAGAGAAATGGGCACACCTCTGTCATCTTAGCACTAACCACCGGGATGCTGACTCGAAAACACTCAGAATCGAACCAAACGTTAGAGTAACGCAGGATTTAAGTGGGTTGCAAGATGAATTTTATCGTATACTCAAACCGTTCTGAGAAGCAATTCAGGAATCCCTGTTCGTTTTTTCACAGTTTGGAATCAGACACATCGTTGTTTTCCATTATCACGTTTAGAAGATGAAGTATTTCTATTTATCCATGCGTCAATTACGGTTGACACTGCGTTTAACGTGTTTCCATATTTTCAGAAATGTGCCCAACGGGTACTTTCGCCCCGAACCGTTTGGTCAGTCCAGCGCCACCTCGCATAGGTGCACAGTATCAACGCTTGCTAACAGATCAACCATACCTAGCTGACAAGCATGCAAGTGAGGCTGAAGTATCGGACTGGTTGAATCATGAGCACCAAACTATATGCCAACCCTGTCCCAGCAACACGTACAGCGAAGAAAAGGGTCGAGTTGTTTGCCTTCCTTGTCCTGTGTGGCATATGATGCCTGCAGACCCTGAGGGGGAGAGACCTTCTGTGACCGGTTCCGACTGGCTGCATGAAGCTTGCCCTCGGGAAGGACGAGCCGAAGTTCGCCTAGTTCAAGTGGCTGAGGGAATGCTTGGAAGACGATTTGCTAAATGGGTTCACAATTCCAGCCCGTTAACTCGAGTTGGAACATTAGTAATAGTTACTTTGATTCCATTATTTTTGGCTGTGATATTGCTGTTTATTGCCTATGTGCTGATTGATGTGGGTGCAACTTTGGTGAAAATGGCCAAAAAGATGCATCCATTGCAGGTGCAGCTGGCCGAGACAACCACAGCAACGGCACAATTCAAGGCTGAACAACGCCGAGCAGCAGCGGAGGCGTACGCTCGGATGAAAGGTAACTGAAAACTTTCGCAAGAACACTTTACTGAAATACGACTCTCAATACCTCCAAAATCTATTTTACACACCACAATCGTTCATACGGACGAAATGTGTTGATAACGAAACCTGATGTCCCACAATGATCCATGTGCATCTCTTTCGTCTCATTGACAGACATGTTAGAAAAGCTACCATAATTTGAGATTCTTGATGCAGTATATTAACTTGAAGTTTGGGGGAGAACTGTAGGTGAACCAGGCGTAATTGAAATCTAGCTGATCGTAGTTTGCCGCCAAATTACCATCACACATAAAATCTAAGTGAAATCTAAGTGTAAGTAACTAGCCATTTGCAGATTCAATGCCCGCGACGCCAAATGTTGTATCCCGTATAAGTCAATAAGTACGCAAGTAGTGAATTAAGTAGTAATTATAATTCAGTATGTAAACGAAAAAGTAGCCGGGTCCATAATCCGGTGAGCAAGCAATTCGTCAACACGCAGGCAGGCAGGTACAGAACTGGTGCCATTGTTACCAAAAGGAGTATGTCATCACACTGGGCAGTGAACGAACCAATCAATGCGGACTGACCAATACTGACCTCTGAGTCGCTGAGGCGGATCGACCTTATAACAGAGTAAGTCCGCATGAGGTGCGTACCTGCGTGTGGTGGCGGGTCGCAACGGCCAATCTCGAGCGCATACCGCAGCAGCTTCATTAACCTTACAAGTCTATTGTCCATTTCTAGTCCGCGCAAAATAAAAGGCTCTTGCCTCACTTCTTTATAGCTAACGTGATCACGTTGAATTGCCAAAAAGTGAGTATCGTGTTGATGAATTCATTTTGACCCCCGGTCTATCAGGGTAGCGCCTAAAACTCGCCAGCACCACCTACTGTGAACAGCCGATTTTTTGGTAAATCGCATGCTGGTTGTGCGTCCGTTAAAATTTATAAAGGCGAGCAGGTCTTGCTCTGTCTTGATAAGACAAAGAGTATTTATGATTACCTTCCTCCCAACTGCGTGAATGTGCGGAGTGTAAACGGATGACCCAATACCAGACACAACATGAACAGTCAAGGTGAAATATAGGCTGGCATAGATAAATAGGCACCTCAGAACTACAGTGCGATTGCTCCATCGTTTTCGATAGTCTCGTCCCTCTCACTCGTAACCTTAGANAATTTGTCAATCGTTTCCCTATCGACGTTCTACGGAGCACCAGATAGGTAGCAGCGGTTTTCGCCCTACCGTTGGTTCATTGAAACAATGGGCTGCAATTCATCCTTCACTGCAAATTCATCATATTTTATTTGTTCTCTGTAGACTGCGAAATAGCTGCACCACGGGTTAGGTCTCTGCTTTCTCTTATCGCAGTTAGAGTACAGTGCGATTGCTCCATCGTTTTCGATCGTCTCGTCCCTCTCACTCGTGACCTTAGACAAGTAAATTCCCTCTGACCCTTTCTGTGGTCTGATTAGATCATACTTCGCGATCTGCGGCGTTTGAAATCCCTCACCACAGTACGAGACTGTTTGATTACCGGCTTGTACGTTTTCTAATGCTCTTGTTGTTACGTCCAGTCCATCCGAGTGCTGATGGTACTCCTGCTACACGGTCGAAGTTTACTGGGCCTGCCCGAGACTCACAGCTGTAAGAAAGGTGTGGTTTCTCGCTTGGGTTAACTAGGCAAGCACCAGGTCCCTTGTTACGGCTGAACCATTTGACTGATCGATAAATGAACCCGATCGGTCGTGTGATTTTCGGGCCGGCACAGGAGGAGGATAGGTTCTGTATCCGATGCTGTTCTAAGTGTCGGTAGAGAATCACCCCAAGAGGATCAGTTGTGGAGCGGTGCGCCATGTGGGAAATTCCGAATGGAAAATGTTCAAGTGATGATGATACTGGGCCAACGCTTGACTCGTAAGAAGTGTATGAGAGTTCAAATCATTCTGTAAATACCATTTGTACTGTGAAATGGATCAGATGCATAAACCGTTTGATACTCAGTTAACAACCGGCTTTGTCTCGCCGTAGCGTCATGGTAACTACAGAGCTCTGATTGACTGTTTTTGAACGAGCAAGGAGGGGGTGTTTCAATAGAATCGCGATCGCTTCGGCTGTGGAGACAGTAGGCGATGCTCGACCTGCTTCGATCTCACCCCGATGATCGTGTAGATGGGTCTGACTGACTCATTCTGACACGATGTTCGGATTCGATCAAATGAGCCGTGATTCCCGTAC